ACCTGGGAAACTGTCAAATAGTTACGCACAAGATTCAATTAAATGCCGAAAACCCTTGTAGGACTAAACCTTATCCGCTATGATAAACAAAAGACGTAATCATCGAAGAACATATTCAGGAGATGTTAAAGAATAAAAATAATAACGCCCATAAATAGTGAGTACGCGAGTCCAGTCGTACTATGTAGGAAAAAGAACGAGTTTCCTCCTTCGGATAAAAGGGCTTGGAGGTTTGCTATCGATTACAGAAAACTAAATAGTATTACTAAATTTCCCAGTTTACCCTTTGCCGGTTATAGACGGAAATCATTAGACAGATCAAATCGACAAGATACATGTCTACTTTGGACTTAACGTCTGGCTACTATCAAATAGCTATGAGACCCGAAGACATACATAAAACCGCGTTTATAACAAAATCGGGCACTTATGCATTTTTACGCATGCCCTTTGGGTTGTGTGGGGCCCCATCAACATTCCAGAGAGCTATGGACATTGTTCTAAAGCCTGTCCTAGGAAAATCAACTTTAATTTATCTAGATGATATAATTATAACGAGTAGTACGTTGGAACAACACATGAATGATCTAGAACAAGTTTTTAAATTATTAAAAGAAGCCGGTCTTACAATTAACGCCTCAAAATGCAAGTTCGCAACTAAAGAACTTAAATATCTCGGTTATAAAATTTCGCAAAAGGGTATAGAAACGCAAGATTCAAAAATAAAAGCTATTAAGAATTTCCCACCGCCAAGAAACTTTCTTCGTTCCTTGGGTTATGTTCTTACTATCGATCGATCTTTCATAAAAGATTTCGCTAATATTGAACCACTCTTAGTAATCAAAAGAAAAAGGGCTAAATTTACGTGGACAGCGGAAGCAACACAGCTTTTGAAAGATTAAAAGAAGCGCTCATCAATGCCCCTGTTTTAAAAATTCCCGGAGGGGGACGAAAACCTGGAAATTGCAGCAGATGCGTCAGACTATGCGGTGGGTGCGGTTCTTATGCAAAATAACCATCCGCTGGCATTTTTTAGTAAAACATTGAATCAGACACAAAGGAATTATACAGCTACAGAAAGAGAAAAACATTAGCCGTATTAATGGCTGTACACAAATTTCGAGTTTATTTCGGCAAAGCGCCAGTAACAGTCTTTTCGGATCATGCGGCTGTTGGTAGACTTTACTCGGGGAAAAACCTAACGCCCAGGTTAATAAGATGGGCTTTAAAACTCCAAGAATATAATATCACAATAAAATATAAACCGGGTAAGGAAAACAATGTAGCTGACGCACTTTCTCGTATAAAAACTGGACGATGAAGGAAGGAAATGAACTTAAATGCGCTGTGTTGACTTCAAAAATTTTAGATTCTAGAGATACGGTTATTACTGAACTGAAAGCTGATCCTGAATTTGGAAATATCTATGCTTATTTGAAAGACCCCGAAAGCTTTGAGCACACAGATATCGATGCGATGCGATAAGAAATAGAGCAGAAAAACTATGAAATAATAGATAATTTATTATTTTATACGAAAACAACAAACGAAAATCTTGAGTATAAAACCAGTCATCCCAGCCTCGCTTCGATTAAGCATTTTGAAGGAATTACACGACGCGAAAAACAGCGGGCCACCTTAGGGGTCAGAAAGACTTTAAAAAGGGTACGCGAGGCGGTATATTTCCCGCAATTATACAAAATAGTAACGGCGTATGTCAGGTCCTGCAATCAATGTCAGTTAATAAATGATATTAATTACAGCCCGGCCGGGTACTTAAATAGCATTCGCGCTACATTTCCGAATGAAATTTTAGGCATAGATCTTCTTGGTCCCTTCCCCCAGAGCGAGTTAAATAAAAATCGTTTTCTTTTAGTAATAGTAGATCATTTTTCAAAATGGACAGAAATTGTTCCACTTAAACGCGCGTCAGCCAAAACAGTCGCAGATGCATTCTTACACAGATACATTTTAAAATACGGTGCACCGATAAAAGTCATTAGCGATAACGGAAAACAATTCATTAGTCAAATATTTGAAAACATATGCAATGGACTTGGCATACGCCATATCAAAATGGTTCCGTATAGACCACAGGCAAACATAGCAGAAAGAGTTAATAAAAACATTGTAAAAATAATTCGCAGTTACGTTAGCACACATCACAAGCGCTGGGATGGCTACATAAATGAATTAGCTTATGCTTTAAGAACGGCAAATCACGATACTACGGGAAAAACTCCAGCAGAATTATTTTTAGGCCGAAAGTTAATTACGCCTTTAGATAAATTATTCTTTGTGCAACAAAGAGAGCAGGAGTTTAAACAAAAAGATGTGCAAAAGCTAATTGATCAGGCGCTTAAAAGCTCGGATACGGCAAGAAATAGGCAGAAAATATATTATGATAGAAAACGCCGTGAAGCAGATTTTAAAGTTGGGGATAAAGTATTGAAGCGGAAATTTTCTTTATCAAGTGCCCCAGACAATTTTACGGCAAAGCTAGCTCCAAAGTTTGAAGGCCCCTATGTAATTCAGGAAATCAAAGGAGTAGTATTATATCTTAAGAACGAGAGAGGGGAAATCTGTAAAGCAAGTCCCGACCAGGTGAAAAAAATACTATAATCCAAATGATTTTGAAATCCTTAAAAGTTTCTTGCAGGACTCAAGTCTAAACGAAGTAGAAGGTCCAGAGAACAACAACTATTCCACCACCCAAGAAACAGAGAACTGAAGAGAGACCTAGCCCTTCTACAACCCGGACGTCGGTATCAAAAAGAAAAAATAATTTCAAACTCCAGCGTTTAAGAAAAACAAAAAATACAGATGCACCGGGTAAAGAAACCGTGGTAAAGAGAAAAAACACCACCTACAAAGGATCGCAGGAGAAAATTATACATCAAGGAGAAACGCGCACACGGCCACAGAGTCAGGTGCCAGCAAGGCCGCCGTTCCGGAAACTGAAACGGCAAACAGGAGGCACAAAAATACGAGGAACAGAAGAAATTCAAGAAGGACTCCAGACCGGAGGACGTCAAGACCAGCCGTCCCAGGGAAAAACGGAAAAGCCAACAACCAGACGATTACTCCGCCAAGAGGCCAGCATGTAGAGGACGCAAAAGAAAAAGCAATCGACACATCCCCATGAAACCTAAACTTGGGATCAATTTTGCCAAAAAGAATGACGGAGTTTCAAGCATCGAAAACTCAAAGATAAGTTAAAACCTTCTATAAATTTTTTTTTCTCTTCCGAAATGTTATGCATAAGTACGAAGTTCTATGTTTTGACGAAAGTCAATATGTCTCGGTTGAGACTTAGTTTTGTTTTACTTTAAGCTAAGGCAAAAAAAAAAAAGTATTATTTTCTTTAAGTTAAAAGCTAAACAAGCATGTTTCTGTTGGTCGAAAGACTAATTCTGTTATGTTAAAGCCAAAATTTGGCCGAAGATAAAAATAACTTCGTATTCTTGTATTAATAAGAATTTTAGTTTCAGTGCCGCCAGCTTGGCGAAGAATGAGTAAAGTAAAAATTTATTTTCTCTTATTCATTTTATGGTAAATTGTAAAAATCATATGTATTAAAATTTTGTAAATGTATGTAAATACTTGAATGTTATGTAAAAGTAGAATTTAGTCTAGAAGCATAAAATTGTAGATGCTAAAAGTGAAATGCTCTAAAAGCAATGAAGTCAAAATTTAAGTATTAAACTGTAGATAAAGTCATGCTTTAGAGCGAAAGCCTGCATGTTTAAAGATGAATGAGGGGGAAGTTAGAATGAATGTGTTTTGTAGGGTTCTCCACCTACATTTGAATTTTTAAGAATATTAAAGTAGCTCATTGAGTTGTAGAATGTCGAGTAAGGTGTGTCTATTTGGTCGTTGAATTCTAACAAATCATGGTGGTTAGGGGAAGTGTTGTAAGACTAAAACACGAATATTCCCGTTTGACACCACACATGGTGGAGAGCCAGGGTAAAGTTAAATTAATGCTTGAAAAATTGAATGAATGTGAAGTAAGCAATAACTAAGAAAAAACGAATCGTTTAAAAACAAAAATTTATTGTGTCAAGAAAGTGTAAATTATAATGTATTTAGAAAGATACTGATACTTATTCCTTCCAGATGCTGGAAGGAAAGACCAAGATTGATTGATGAAGTCCAGGAAAAGTTGCTGTAAGAAGAGAGAGTTTAAAACGATCAACAGAATTTTAGTATACAATTGTTACATAAGATTTTTTTTTGTAAACGAGGTTCTCGCCAGTTAGTTCAGAATTAGAGAAACTTACAACAGGTCGTTTGTAGGACCTGCTTCCAAGTTTTCCAAATTCTGGCAGCGGCAAATGTAGGGTTTATATTTATTTTAACTAACATTTATTTTAAGTTTAAACTATCTTTCCTGTCAAGCCTTACTTTCCCCTGGAACTGCCAATGCCAGAATATGTAAATTTGAGTAGAACGCGCAAGGATTCAAATTATCAGCGGAAGTATTATGATTTAAATAGAAGGAAACGAGTTCGGTGTGTGATGATATTCTTACTTCACGAGCGCGGAGGTAGTTAGCGAGAAATTGAAGAAGAACCCCGCGTTTCGGCCTATGTGCTTGGCGGGAAGTAGTGTGTTAATCGTTCAAGTGAGCTTCAAGTCTGCTGAATTAGCAGCGGTATTGTAAAACGCGGTGAGTTTAGTTATTTTAGAGAGCCTCGTAGTTAGAATCTTGTCTTTAGTTTCTTTTCAGGTTATTATTTTTATTTGACCGCCGAGTTGGCGCCGTCTGTAAGCGTCAAGAGCACGCAATTGTAATTTATTACGTTGAATAAAAAGGGACTTAAACCCTTCACAAGACTCGGTGTTTTATCCAGTTTGCACAGTCACCTCTTGGTTGCGTGCAAGTTTGAGGCGCGCAACGTTACAAACTGTTAGAACATTAAATCTCCATATTACCTGAAGATTCTTCTTCTAGTCTGCTGTCTTTCGTAACTATAGTTTTATAAAACTTTACTTACCTGTCGTGTCATAAAATTCAGGTGTTTCTATTTCAGATCGAGCAAATATGTATAATTGAAGCAGAAGTTGAGGTATATCTTCTAGAAAACATTCAAAAAGACGCAGTATTCCAGCATCAGCAGCTTCATTAATCATATCAGTAAGATATTTCTGTTCCTGCCGATGTTTTCCAACACTTTTCACGCCGTAGTATAAAGCGTCCAAATACCTGAATTGAAAAGAAAAGTCTAATATTAAGAATTAAAATATCTTAAAGTTTTAGTCCTCATTATATTTTACAGATAACTTGCATAATGTGACATGAACAATAAGTACACAAAATATCTTCTCCCATCCATAATATAGGGCTTAAAGTCAAAAACTACACTGCTTGACAATTGCTAAGGATAAGGAACAGTTATATTTTTCCGAATAATTAATAAAAGACAATGATTCTTGACTAACAATGATTAATAGAGATAGTGTGCATTTATTGTTATGCAAAATGGTACAGATATCGCCACATCAAAAAAGTAAGAAAATTAAAAACAAAAAAGATGCGCCTTGGACGACTTTCAAACAGCCACAAAAATTTGTCTTCTTGCCAGAATGGAACAGATATGTTGTAGAGACATTAGGTTATTTCGAAGCAGAAAAGATGAAGAATGAGAAATGCTCTCGCGGGGACTCGAACCATGGACCTCTCGAATACGCGTCCAGCGTGCTGACCACTACACGACGAAGGCATGCTAAGGAGATGGTAAAAATACCTTATAATGTGGAGCTCAGTAAGATTATAAGAGACATTAGGTATTTTTTGGAAGCAGGAGTATTGGAAAATGAGGACTTGAAAATTTTTCGGGTGTTTCGAAACCGGGAATCGAACCACGGACCTCTGGAATACGCGCATGCCTTCGTAGTGTGGTAGTCTGCACGCTCGGCGCGTATTCCAGAGGTCCGTGGTTCGATTCCCGGCAAAGGCGTTGCTCATTTTTTACTTCTCCTGCTTCCAAAAAAAAAAATACCTAATGTCTCTACAGTGGCGCCCGAACTAAAGGGGAGATGGATGATGATTCTCCACACCCAGGACTTGGCGACTGGGTTTCCTAAAATCCCCAGCTGCCCTTTAAAAGGGGGAGTATATAAGGTATTTCTCCCACCATCTCAGGGTGCCTTCGTGGTGTAGTGATCGGCACTCTAGGCGCGTTTCCAGAGGTCCGTGGTTCGATTCTTGGTTTCGAAATACCCGGAAGATTTTCAAGTCCTCATTTTTCATTACTCCTGCTTTCAAAAAAATACCTAATGTCTCTACAATCTTACTGAGGTACACATTATAAGGTATTTTTTCCATCTTCTTAGCATGGGTGTAGAGTTCAGCACATTCGATGCGTGTTCGAGAGGTCCGCAGTTCGAGTCCCGGAGAAAGCATTGCTCATTTTCCCTCTCTCTTGTTTCGAAATAACCTAATGTTTCTACAGTCGCCCCCGAACTAAAAGGTGGTGAATGATGATTCTTCACCACCAGGATCTGGCGATAGGGTCCCTTAAAACCCCAGTCGCCCTTTAAAAGGGGGAGTGTATAGGGCATTTCTCCCGCCTTCGTAGTGGGATGGTCTGCACGCTGGACGCGTATTCCAGAGGTCCGTGGTTCGATTTCCGGCGAAAGGCGTTGCTCATTTTTCACTTCTTCTACTTCCATAAAAATACCTAAAGTCTCTACAAGCTAAACACGGCAACTTTATAATTAAATGTAGTTGTCATGGTTTTGTTCAGCATCCAATATTCTTACATACAATTCCAGGGGAATTTTGAGTTTATAAAGGAAACGTAGTGGGACTTTATTGAAAATAATTAAGCAATGGCTTTTATTCAAAAACAATTAAAAAATCTAGTTTATTCCATAATAATTTGTGCTCTGTTTAGTCCATTTCAAATTAGAGCACCTTGTAAAGACATAAGTTATTTTTGGAAGAAAGAGATATGAAAAATGAGCAACGCCTTCACCAGGAATCGAACCACGGAACTCTAGAATAGACTCCCAGCGTGCAGACTACCACACCACAAAGGCATGCCAAGAAGGCGGGAGAAATACTTTATAACCTTCTATTTTAATAGTTAAATACGTTAAATATTACTGCCGATTTACATGTACTTAACTTTCTATGAATATTTCTGAAAGGGAAAAGAGAAGGTGTTTTTTACTATTATTTAAACCTTATAACTGATTTATTATAAAATGTAAGGATACTTATTAATTTTTTACCCTCAATTTCAACAATGCATATTCTAAAAATTATTGTTTAATACTTCCTTCTCATAGATTCGCTTTACAACACCTTTTAATAGATTGCTTGCTTTTCGGTACGAACAATTCTTGCTTAAATAGTTTAATAAACAAATTTGTCAAAAGAATTTCAGTTTATGTTTACAATTAAATGTTAAGGTTATTATATATTTAGATAATATTTATAATCATTATAAATTTAGATATATTTAATAACTAGATTTCTTCACAGTAACATTCACAGGAGTTTGTGAATAAATGAATCCTTCATTTCCAAATACATTTATAAATAATTTAATAAATATTTACACATTTTTACAAGGTTATGCATAAATACCTACTTATATTTTTCATTTTTGTAAAAATAAAATGATTAGTTCAAAATGGACAACTATTAAGATTCTTCCCTAAAAATTTTTAAAAAGTTCATGTTACAGTAGTATGTGAATGACAAAAATATCCTTTATTTGAAACATTTTGGTATTTCGAACATAAAATAAAAGTAGCGAATACTCACTTAAGGGTATCGAAAGACGTATACAATTTTAAAGGGACCGTAAGGTATTTTTCGCTCTTTAAGCAAACATTTTTTACTAAAATCTTTATTTTTGTTAGTCTAGTAGCTTAGAATTTTATAAAACAAAGTCATAATGAAATTGTTTTTGTAAGTTATCGAAAAATAACCGAGACGTGATTTTTACTTAAATGCCTCTAAACTATACAAATTGCTATCCAAAAATGAATGTTTCTTTTATGCGAAAGGGTCCCCGCTTTTCGGATTTGTATGGAACTGTCCCGTGTGTGGAAATATTATTAAAGCGCTGTCAAGGATGCTGTGGATGTAAACAAAAACCACCTCATCTGGAGAGCAAAGCCTGGGATCGCAGCAGCTTCAGTCGTAGTGCGGGGTTGGTCTCTTTTTACTTCTTTGTACGAAGTAAAAAGGAAAGTATTGTAATCGCGAAAAGTTTCAGGCAGCATATTTCAACGAAAATATCCATTTTGACCGCTATCGAATGCAATTTAACGATGTTTTTGCCTGATATCTGTACGTAAGGACAGACAGAATGAAAGGACTCGTTTCCTCCAAAAAAAATTATAAAACTGCTTTAAAATTAATTCTGAAGAGAATTTCTCGTGGCGTCTGTACGAACGTATGTACGTACGTATCTACGCATAACTCGAAAAACGAGTAGCCTCAGAACGTTGAAATTTTGTATATCTAGAACTGCTATAACATGTAGACTGTGCACCTCGTATTTTGGTTGCAATCGACCGCACCGTAAAGTATATAAATACCATATTGTATACATATTACTGTTAGCCACTCTGTTACGCGGCACAGTGATCTCAGTTTCTTTGCTCTTATATGTTTGTAAATTGTAAATTTTTTGCTTTAAAAATGATTAAATTCTGTTGTTCTTATCTCTCAGTTAAGGTTTTTATGCCTTTCGTAATTCTGGAAGCAATATTTGTACAATTATCAACAATTTAAAAGCTGTTTAAGTGCGGTTAAGTTTTAAAATAACATGGCTGACATATTTGTTTACATTTGAAATAGCAGAATTGCAGATTTGTTGCCAATCTGGAGAGACTAAGCTTCGCAACAAGAAAAATAACCCCTTCATTTATTATTGCGAATTAAATCATGCTTAATCCTCTCTGGAATTTTTTCAAGGAAATAAGTGTTCAAGATTTACTTCGTAATTTTTAATACAGATATTATGAGTTTTTATGTATTTTTGCCTTGTCGCAAAGTGAGAACTGAATTAATTAAATGAGAAATACTAAATTGTCTGTGAAAAACTGTTTCTTTTCTCTTTTGTTTGCTTAATTTCTTTCATACATCGTTTTAGCTTTATTATAGTATTTGAATAGAACATGTGGCAACGATAAGATAATTCTTCAAATGATATAAATTTTGTGCATTCAGAGTGTCTTTATAGTAAACAAATGTAGTGAATTTTAAAGAGTGCATTTATTTTATTGTGGTTTATGCGCTGTCGACGAAGTAGATTTTATTCAATCCAATCAATTTAAATGAAATTCAAGAAAAAAAATGCGTATAATTTAATATTCCATAGAAGGAAGTCATGTGGTGTACACATCAGATTTTTTTATTTTTACCTCCATGACTGAATTACCTCGGGAAGTATCTGCAGCACCATATGGTAAGGTTCTGGTGTCCCGTTTGCTCATTCCTGTCATGGCCTCTTATTTTAATACTATCAAGGGAAGGAGATTTCACCGCATGCACAAGTTGTGATTTCTAATCAATTCAAGTTTAAACAAGAAGGTTTACTGAAACCTTGATAAGACTTTGTTGCATTTTCAGACGGAGTGAGTGAGTGAGTGACGGAGAACGTGCGTGAACACCATCCCTCTACAATATTGGTTAATTGGTATAGCGCCACGTTCCCCCTGTGGTGTTGCTGGCCGTGATCGTATAAAGTGTCGATACTAAGAATATCAAGTACAAATTAATTTTGCGTAAATACTTAAACTAAAATTTGGTGTTTAGTACATTGCATAATCATTACTAAATAGATTAACAAGACTTACCCACTGATGCATGCATGAGCCGATTATTTTCTTTTTCCAATCACATATTTATTTCAATACACATACTTTCTGGATTAAATAAGACACATTTATCACACACATATACATACTAAAATATCATAACTTAGATACTAGCAATGCGATAACTCAAAAGGAATGTCCGTGGAGTGCCGACGCGTGACTATTCGCGCAATCCTGTTCCATCGAATAATTTTGCGGTTGAAACGTGATGAATTCTATCTTCATATTATCGCGCTGTCTGGTTACACACTTATAAGCTCTTCTTTTTTCCTTTTACATTCATATGATTTTTACACACGTCGCACGTGGTGACACATTGCTGGTCAATCACATCTTGAAGTCGAACAGTTACTTATTTCTGCTTGCGCGTTTATTTTATTCATAAAT